GTTAAAAAAACATTCACCAAGGTAATAAGAAGTTATTATTGTCAAAAATTTAAAGGTTCAATTTACCTGTGGACTCTCGGAGGAGAGGTTACTAGCTATACGTTCCAACGTTGTGTTGGAGGTCGAAGGTGGATTTTTGGATTTGGGTGAGGGAGCAGCATCCCTGGAATCAAGTCCAGAGACACTAGTTGGAACGGTACTTTTCGAAATATCTTTTTTTGGCTTCTTCTTCGAAGCAGTGTTTAAGTTTCCTCCAGCCTTGGGATCTTCCTCAGTGGTGCTTGATTTCCGCTTCTTGGGAGTAGTAGGAGGAAGCTTGTTGGTCTGAAAGGATTTTAAACGAAGAGTTAGATGCAAACCATAAAACATGAGTGAATTCGAAACATCAAGGCTAAGTGATTACCGTTGGAATTGGAACACTGGTTGTTGTTGGTATTATTGTTGTTGTTGTGGTTGCAGCAATAGTGGTTGTTTCGGGTGGAGTCACTTTGTCAGTAGTTTCGATGGAGGCTTGAGAGGCACTCCCTTCTTTCGACTTCGAGGCAGCTGTCTTTATCCTGATGGCTGAAAATCGAAACAATTAAAGCAAAGGTTAAAGATATGGAAAATAAAAGACGTTTGGGATTTTCCCAAGCATTCGCACCTGTGCCTTGATCAGATTTAATTGACATGGCAGAAAGGTCGTATCGAAGGTGTTCTGGGAAATCATGAAGCCAGTATCGAGCCCATGTCACAGTCTCAGATGGCTTTGGTTTCCTTTGAAGATATTTGAACATCTCTTTGCAAGTAAACCACCAAGGATATGGGGGAAACCAAGCCAGAGCCAGTTCTGAGGTAGGTAATCTGGGAAATTTAGGTGGATGCATTTCGAATGCCAACCTATACCTATCCTCAGGTGACAGCCCTGAAGGAAGTTTTAACTTAGAAACTTTTTGTTTAAATTTTTCCTTCAAGGTCTCAGCCGCTTGATGCACAGCGGAGTCCAAGCGCGTGGGGTCATAAGTAGTTTCAAAATAATTTTGGAAAGCTTTAATCTCTTTGGCATGAGTAAACATACCTTTCTTTGTTGGTACCTGCACATCGAAGGCATCAATTAGTTTCTGTTGAATTGTAAGTGTATCGAACATATAAGTTTGATAAAACTTGGTCCACCATTCCAGAAACCTTTAGCTATGAGATGGGTAGGTTCGAAGGTTATCAGCTCAAATTGGGCAAAGCCTTGATATTGTTCTTGCTGTATTTTGGCTTCCCGTGCCTTGAAAGTTCGTCCAGAAGTGATGGCACTCTCAGTTTGAAATAAAGGTTCAGGAATCAGTTGGCATAAGCCAAACTGCCTCGAAACAAAGTTTGGTTGGTAGGCAAAGAGAAAAATCTGGTTCTTGGCTGGAGTTATTCTTGAAGAAATGAGTCTAGGTAGCAAAAAAGCTCTCCATACATCCTGAATCTCCTTTCTCTTGATAGCTTCTGAGAGAGCCATGGTGAACCAAGAAGGTCCATGAGCCCTCGAAGCAAAAGGCGCCATGCTCTCTTCGAACTTGTGCCTTTTGGAGAATATCATGATGTACTTCGAGAATTGGACTTTGAAGTCATCTTTGTCGTCATTGGGAGTTAATCTTCGAAGCCTAGTGCCTTCGACTATCCTATCATTTATCTCAGAATCTTGCTCATCAATGGTGTTGGCGGTTGATAAGGAGGGTTCGAACATGGCATTTAGCCATAGTTGAAGTAACCAAAAAGGGCCAGCCAACAGAATATTTTTGGAGGTGTGGGATTTGAGGCTCGAAACAGCTGACCTCAGGCTTTCATAAAGGTCAACTAAGAGCAGTTCACTTAGGCACACTTTTCGATTTTCATGCAAGTCCCTAGCTAGAGGAATGAACCTACTAGCTACCTGTAGGGATCTACTGCAGAAAACGTATCTTGACAGCCACAGGGTTAAGAAAGCAATGTGCTCTACGTCAGACACATTGTCCCCCTCAGCATGGTAATGACTGATAAACTTGGAAAAACTGGCTAGCTTGACTTCGAAGTCAATTATGCTTGAATGTTCTTCGTTGTCGGGTATATAAGTTTCTCCCACTGGCGATAGCCCAGTGATGGCCGCTATGTCGAAGAAGGTTGGGGTGATCATTCCACCTGGGAGATAGAAAGTGTTATAGGTACTGTCCCAGAAATAGAGGGACGCGAATAGCAGAGGGTGGCTGTAGGTGAAACCAGACTTCGATAGCTTAATCAGGTTATAGATACCTAATTCTTCCCATTGCTGGGATTTCTTAGCTTCTACTTTCTTGAACCAATTTTGATAAGCAATATCAGAGGTGGGGCAAGATCGAAATGGCTTAAAATTAATTTTTACATAATCCAATACAAAGGGGTCCTTAGGAGGAACAATTGGGTTTTCTATGGTATTTGAACTAGAAGATTCTACAGCCTTAGGGGCGTCCATTTTGTTAAACAAGGGTTTAAAACTATAACAAACTGGGAAAATCGTCCTGGTGTCTTTTAATATTTCAAAAACCGTAAGAGGGCCATTTAAAGCTAACCTCTTACCAGCAACGTTGGTAGGAATGAGTACCTGTGACGCATACATCATTTCTTTTTCCTTTGAAATCATCTGAGGGGCAAGAACGGATTGACCTTGGTGAGTGATGATTTTACTTTCCATGGTAGTTCCTGCAGTTTTTCCTTTCTTCTTGGAGACTTTCTTGAGTTGGGATGAAGTAGAAGAAGACATTTTTGAAAGATGTTGAAAGCTTGGGTTTTTTTTTGACGAGAGAAGGAGGGTAAAAGATTTAGAGTGTGAAAAAGAAAAGAAAAAGATTAAGTTGGTGATGTTTTATAATGGGGAAGTTTAAGTATCCACTGAATAAGGGTGTGATACGTGGAAATCATGGGTTGGTGTGATGAAGAGGTGGCATAAAGTTAACATGGGTAATAGGCGTGATTTAAAGATAATCATTATTTGTAACTGCACCATGCTGTGAAGTGGCTCCAGGCGGTTAAGGAATCCAAAAGGTGCTATGATTGACGTGACTGGAGTCAAATGCATTAAATGTTACGATGATTCGAAAGTCACATCAAAATCTTGTGTAGATGTTTAAAATAGGTATTTCTCAGAGGAATCGAAATACATATTTTAAAGGGGTAATTTGTTGGCTGAAGATTTTGATAATGTTATTAAAAGCCAAATGAATTAAACGTTTCGATCGAAATGAGGTAAAGCGTCATGTTTCGAAGTAGCAGAAGCAGTGTTTCGAATAAGCATGTCAAAGCTTGGAGCTTCGAGTGACAATTATGGGAACATATCTAAAGAAGTCTCGAAATAACAACAAGGCTGTGTCTGGGAAGTGCGTTCGAAACGGAGAAGTACCAAAGCATTTGAAATTCAAATGGAAGCGGGACATTCGAAGTTTGAAAGTTATGTGCTGGAGCATTTGGGGACACGTGGAAAGAAGAAAGAGGCATTGTTCTGCATGTTCTGAACGTGGCATAATCCTATAGCAAGACCGTTATGGTCGAATTAGTATAAATAGAAGTCTTAGTATTAGGATTTCGTGTGTCATATCTATTGTACTAAATACTCAGTAACATTTAAACTACCACATGGCAAGGGAAACGAATGCAAGAGAAATGTACGTATGATAGCACCATGTATTTCTGATTTAATGAAAACTTTTTACCATTTCCAACACTTTCCTTTATCTTTTTGTCAAATAACATTTACAAATTTTCTCATTTACAGTCTTTTCACTTCGAAATCTCTTCTTCAAAGTTTTACATTTTAATGCTTTCTTCACATTTCAAGCACTTTACATCTCAGAAAACTGTCATATTTTCCATACCTTTACCTTCAAGTCTTATCCTTCGAACGCATATTTTTACTTAAAGTCATTTACAGATTTCTTGCATTAAACACTTTCTTCATATTTCAAACCTTTTACGTTCCAGAAATCCTTTACATTAACTGTTTTATAATTCGAAACCATTCACTCGACTTTTATGCAATTTTACATGTCTTTACAATTAACATTTATTCATGCAATTTAGTTTCGTACACGCACATTTTGATTACATCTTTAGACTTTTTGAGAGAGAAATCGAAATAAGCCAAACGCATATACAACACTCAAATATCAACCATGAATATCTGTTCGATCGTGAGAGTAACCTTAATGTCCAAGGAATCCTAGGATCAATCTAGTCGATCCTGTGAGTTACCAGAGGAATTGAATAACAGTCAGAAAGATTATTCGATAGTTTGGAAGACTAGCGGTTGTTTACCAGAAATCACTGAAAACACCATGCAAACCCTTAGAGGGGCGTAAGCTTCTTTGGGATGAACTCACCAAAATAGCAGACCATATTCAGCTTGGGTGGCTTGTGGGAGGGGATTTCAATGAGATTCTCCAAGCCTCTGATAAGAGAGGGGGTTCCCCTGTTTCGAGCAAAAAGTGCGAGGGCTTCAGAGAAAGAATCAATGCTTGCAATCTGTTGGACATGAATTCAGTTGGTCATTGGTTCACTTGGAGAGGTCCTATTCTCCATGGGGGAAGTAGAATTTTGAGCGTCTTGATAGAGCTTTTTGTAGTGCTGCATGGAGAACCCAGTTTCCAAATGCTTTTGTTAAGGTCCTAACAAGAGTTGATTTTTCTGACCACCACCCAAGAGTCATAAATCTTCAAGATCCGTCTATGCATGAAGGAAATAATAGGTTTCATTTTGAAAGTGCTTGGTTAATTGAGGATACATATTGTGATTTTGTAACAAAAGTTTGGAATAACAATTGCCTTTTGGTTGAGAATTTGGATCAGATTAAAAGTCAAGTTTCAAGTTGGAAGAAGTTTACTGTGAAGAGTGTTAAAGGCCACAAAAAACATCTTCTTGGTAGACTTAGTGGTATCCAGAAGGCTTTCCAGGAAGGGAGAGGGCACCAAGGTTTAATCACTCCTGAGAAGTATCTCCAGTAAGAGATTAACAGGATTCTCCACCAAGAAGAATTAATGTGGTTTCAACGGTCCAGATCCAAATGGTTGGTTGACGGAGATCAGAATACTAAGTATTATCACATTAAACCAACCCAAAGAATAAGAAGTAATCAAATTACTTTGATAAAGGATGCTAATGGTTTATGGACCGATAAAGCCGAGAAAATTGGCAAACTTTTCAAAGACTTCTATCAGGACCTTTTCACCAAGGATCTTGACACATACCAGTGGTTAGATACTGTCAACAAGTTTCCCAATTTGAGCGCAGAAGTTATGGCGAAGCTTAATAGTCCAATTGATAACGGTGAAGTGAAGAAAGCTCTCTTCAATATGGCTCCTTGGAAGGCTCCTGACCCAGATAGTTTTCCGGCGGGGTTTTTTCAAAAATCATGGTCAATGATGGGTGATAATATGTGCAATTTTATTCAGAAGTTGTGGAACAATCCAGCCAGCATTAAAGAGGTCAACCAAACTGAGCTAATTTTTATCCCCAAAGTCAATCTCCCTACTCAGGTTCATTAATTCAGGCCCATTTCCTTGTGTAATTCGGTGTATAAATGCTTGAGTAAAGTTGTGGTAATAGACTGAAAGAATGCATAGGTGATATTATTGGTCCCTTTCAAACGGATTTTATACCTAGAAGAAGCATTCAGAATAATATGGTTTTGGCCCAAGAGCTTGTGCATAGTATGAATTGAAGACAAGGCAAAGTAGGTTCTTTTGTAATAAAGGTGGACCTCGCCAAGGCGTATACAATCTTAGCTGGAGTTTCGTTCATAAAACTTATACTGAGGTGGGTCTTCCGCATTCCCTTATACAGATTATTATGGACTCCATCTCTTCTGTTTCGATGAGCATTAGATGGAATGGCAATCAATCGGGTTATTTTAAGTCTGAGAAGGGCCTTCGACAGGCAGGATCCAATATCACCCTATATTTTTGTTATCTATATTGATAAGCTGTCTCACATGATTATGGGTTCCGTGGAGAGTAGCAAATGGAAAGGTATTAAGGCTGGGAAGAAATGCCTCCCGATATCACATCTGATGTTTGCTGATGATCTCCTCCTCTTTGGAGAAGCAACTGACAATCAAATGGATTTTCATTAAACAGGTGCTGGATAAGTTCTGCAATACCTCTGGTCAACGAGTCAGCAATGAGAAAACCAGGGTGTTATTTTATAAAAATACTCCAAAGCATAGCAGACGAGAGCTTATTGGTATCTCAGGCTTCAAAGAGGCAAATGAGCTGGGGAAGTGCTTGGGGATGCCCATCACTGGGAGAAGCCCGAAATCAAAAGATTTTAACCATATTCTGGAAAACATCAGGAACAAACTATCAACTGGAATGCTAGTAATTTATCTTTTGCAGGTAGGGTGACGTTAGCAAAGAAGGTGGTGGAAGTAATTCCTACTTACTCGATGATGACGTACTCTCTTCCTTAGAAGTGTATCAAAGAGATTCACAAAATTCAGAGAAACTTCAATTGGGGCCATAAAGACGAAGAGAAGCATATCCATGGAGTAAACTGGAAAACTATCATGCATATGAAGCAAGTCGGAGGTTTGGGATTTTGCAACCTAAATTTCATGAACAAAGCTTGTCTCTCTAAGCTGGTTTGGAAGCTTATGTCAGGTGAAAACAACCTTTGGAGCCAGGTCGTAAAAGCTAAATATGATAGAGAGAACAATAATCTTGTTACTGTTAGCGCAAAGCCTAATGATTCAGGTTTGTGGAAACAAATTGACAACATTTGGCCAGTGCTGCAAGAGATGGCATACTGGGATATTGGTAATGGTAACAGTGTTAGCATCTGGAAAGACTGTTGGTTGAAGTCTGGGCACCTCATCAACATGGAGGAAATCAACAGTAGTGCTCTGCAGCTGGTAAAAGTCTCTGATCTGGTCGACATCAATAAAGAGTGGAACTTAAGTTTGCTTCATAGTTTCCTTGACATGGAAACAATTGAGGAAATTACGGCTATTCACCCTCCCAGAGATTATCATGGCGAAGATGCTTGCCTTTGGAAAGGCACTGCTAATGGATTTTTCACAATATCCAATGCTTATAACCACACGTGTAATGTTACACAGGATGGAGGTAACACTAAATCCTGGAAGCAAATTTGGAGATCGAAAGTTCCTGAAAGAATCTGAACTTCTATCTGGTTGGTGAACCATGAAAGAGTGCTGACGAAAAGTTATCTTCAGAGACTATCTATATCGGATCCGTGGTGTGATGATTGCTACAGAGTCGTAGAAGATCTTCAGCATGTCTTACGGGATTGTCCTATGGCTAAAGATGTTAGGAGTCAGATGGTTAGTAAGCAAGTTTGGGGAGTGTTCTTTGTATGGAGTTTACAAGATTGGATTACGGGCCATTTATCCAACAGATTTTCTACCGATACTCAAAAAATGTCAGGAGAGACTTGGGCCACTGCTTGCCACCAGTTATGGTTTTGGAGGAATAAGAGAAAACATGATGATGGTTTTGTTATGCCAAATGATTTACTAGGATGATTCATAACAGTGTTAAGGAATATGGAGTCAGTGTGAGGCTCCATCAAAACATTTTCTTGAAGCCACAAGTGGTGAAGAACATTGTGTGGTCTCCGCCACCCCCTCAGATGGTTTTTTATGAATGTTGATGGGACAATTAATGAGGTAGCAAAGGCAGCTTGTGGAGGTCTTATCAGAGACCATGATGGGACGTGGTGCGGAGGTTTCTCTAAAATATATTGGAGTGTGCAACATAGAAGTCGCTGAAGCCTGGGGGATTTTGGAGGGTGTCAAACTTGCAATCAGGCGTGGCATCAAGATTTTCCAAGTTCAATCGGAAAACAAAATGGTGATTGATAGCATTAATGAGAAGCGAGCACCCATAGGAACTTCTAAAGGTTTGATCAGTCATAATCTTCAAAAGATAAAGAAGGTCATATTTGTTAATTTCATTCACGTTTTCAGAGAAGCTAATCAATGTGCAAATGCCTTAGCTAGACGAAGTTTTCATCGAGAGATTGGTTATCATGTTTATGAGGATTGCCCGGATGTGTTATTTTCTCTGTTTGGGCAAGACTTGGTAGGGGTTATAATCCCAACAATTATTCCATTGTAGTTTTTTTTTTGTTGGGTTTAGACCCTCCCTTTTATAAAAAAAAATGATATTGAACGGGATTTGCAAACATCATTACATCATCTTTATTGCTATATTATGAATTTAATTATAAAGAGATGGAATATGGCAAATAGTATTTGGCCGTGCCTCAATCTTCTTTGTTCAATAAAATAATGAATTTTGTTTGAGTAAGTGAAAAATAATTATTTATGTTTTTATTTATTCATTATATATTTCGGATTAGATTGTACTATAATTTTTAAATGTGATGTGTCTTTTTTTATTATTTGACTATTGATGATCGATGATATTAGTGAGTGAAATGAAAAGGAATTGAATGCTTAAAAGTAGGAAAACATATTAGCCGTTCTCCATTACAAATTTATTTTAATGGTTAAAAATAAGGTTTCTTTTGCTTTTTTATTTCCAGATAAATATTTAATTCCATCTCATTATTTATTTAATATTTCATTTTTCCTCATTATTTTAAATATTTTATAATTTTTCTTTAAATTTTTTAGATTCTATTATTAAATAATATAAATTTAAAAGTTATAAAATAACACTCATATATTTTAGTTTTATAAGTTTTTGTTTGGTTACAGAGAGGGTTGAAGTCCAAAGAGAAAAAGAATCCACAAACTCTTTGATGCAATTTGGAATGGTTTCACCAGAATCATGATATTCAAAATTATTAACTCCAAAATTAGCAAGCACATTTGTACATTGGTTTGCTTCCCTATAGTTGTAACTAATCAAAATCTCTTCATGAACATCCATCAACTTGTAAATTTGAAGAAACATTCAGTAGCTATCCACACCCAACGTGCAACGTGCTTCGAGCAATCAAAGTACAATAGAGGTAGAATCAATGCTTAACTCTACATTCAATAAACCCAACCTCCTTGTCATTTTTAATCCTTCAATTATCCCCCATAACTCTGCCGCAAAGCATTGCACCGACCAATGTTTCTCGAGAAACCTCCCTTAAGATTCCCATGATTATCCCGGATGATTCCTCCACACCCAGCTTTCCCATTCTCCTTACTTGCCCCATCAATATTCAACTTAACCAATTTTCCACAGGCGGAATCCAATTGAAAGAGACTTCTTCCCTCTCCCTACAAATCGTAATATGATGATTACTCATAGCTTTATCATACTCCAATGTAAGAAGTTGTAGAGTAGGGTCTTTGATAAATCTCTCCATGAACCTCCTTCTTGATAAATATGAATCAGACTTTTTTTACTTTCTAACTTCTTGTATATTGCTCTTATTGATAAATTACACACTCTTGGTCTTTTGTAGACTCAAAACAAAAAACTATTACAATTCTAAAACAGTAAATTAAATTAAACATAATTGCTACATAACTACTAAAAACGATTGCCTTTCCTACTTCCATAGTTAATTCCCAATTATTTATTTCTAACCCATTTAATGTTTTTATTTCAACAAAACTCCTCCTTAAACATTAAATGCTTCTTCGATCCAGCATCCCAATCATCTTCCTGCCTCTTTCGAATACTTCTCTTGCAAGTGGTTTTGTAAGGATGTCAGCTGCTTGATCTCTGCTTGCCACATGCCTTAGTTCCACGCTTCCTTCTTTCACATGTTCACGTATGAAGTGAAATCGAACGTCTATATGCTTGCTTCGTTCATGATTGACTGGGTTCTTTGCCAGCTCAATAGCTGATTTGTTGTCCACGTGTATTATTGTTGGACCTTCCAGTTTCAGCTCCATCTTACTTATCAATCTTCTGAGCCACACTGCATGGCAAACGCACCAAGATGCTGCCACGTATTCTGCTTCACACGTTGAAAGTGTCACTATTGGCTGCTTCTTCGATAGCCAAGTGAAAGCTGTGTTTCCCATGAAAAACACGTATCCTGCAGTGCTCTTTCGATCATCAATGTCTCCACACCAGTCACTGTCAGAATATCCAACTAGCTTGTAGTCTTCAGTCTTTGAATAAAATATCCCAAGTGATACTGTTCCTTGGATGTATCTCAGAATTCGTTTCAGTGCTTTCCAGTGTGTGTGAACTGGCTCCTCCATGAATCTGCTCACTATGCCAACACTAAGTGAAATATCTGGCCTTGTGCATGTGAGATATCGAAGGCTGCCTACCAAGCTTCGATATTTGCTTCCTTCGACCCGTTCTCCTCCATCAAACTTCGACAGCTTTGTGCCTGGCTCCATTGGCGTCGAAATTGGATTACAATTCTTCATTTTATACTTTTCTAGGATTTCCTTTGCATACTTTTCTTGTGATATGAAAATCCCATCTTCTTCCTGTCGAACTTCCAGGCCAAGGAAAAATCTCATCAGACCTAAGTCTGTCATTTCGAATTCTCTTGTCATGGTGTTTTTGAAGTCTTCGATCATCTTAATGTTATTGCCTAGAAAAATGAGATCATCAACGTACAGTGCCACAAGTAATAAATCACTTCCATTTTTCTTCACATAGAGCGCTGGCTCATAAGGGCATTGCTCGAATCCACTCTCCTTAAAATATGTGTCTATGCGTGTGTTCCATGCCCTAGGTGCTTGCTTCAGCCCATACAATGATTTCTTCAGTTTCAGCACCTTCTTCTCTTCTCCAGCTCTCATGTATCCAAGTGGTTGTTCCACATAGATTTCTTCTTCGAGCACACCATTCAAAAATGCTGTCTTGACATCCATTTGAAATATTTTCCATTTGAACTGAGCAGCTTGAGAGATGAGTAGTCGAATTGTCTCCATTCTTGCGACAGGCGCGAATACTTCGTCATAGTCAATACCAGCTTTCTGCTTGTATCCCTTTGCAACCAGTCGTGCCTTGTATCTTTCGATCTCTCCTTGAGCGTTCATCTTTTTCTTAAATACCCACTTTACACCAATGGGTTGACATTCTTTTGGTAATTCGACAAGCTCCCAGGTTTTGTTGTGTTCGATTGCTTTAATTTCTTGATCCATGGCGCTTTTCCACTTTTCATCTCTTAATGCTTCTTCAACACTTATGTTTTCAGCATCTGCCAGGAGACACACAAGATGCACCTCACTTGTTGACTCATACAGATCTTGCAAACTTCTCATCTTAGGTTGTAGAGGTTCATCTCTTTCTTCTGTTTCTTCATGTTCTTCTGAAATTCTAGTTGGTACAGCTATAGTGGTTTCTTCGACTGTATCAACAGCCTCTGTCGAACTGTTCCAGTCCCACTTGCTGGCTTCATTCATTCGAACGTCTCTGCTTACAATTACTTTCTTGCTTATAGGGTTGAACAGCTTGTACCCTTTCGTCTTCTCATCATATCCAATAAATATGAACTTCTGGCTTTTGTCTTCGAGCTTTGTTCTTCGTTGGTCTGGTACATGCGCATAAGCTATGCTACCAAATACTTTGAGATGGGAGATTGTTGGCTTCTGACCACTCCATGCTTCTTGTGGTGTTTTGTCTTCTAGCTTCGAATGTGGACACCTATTCTGAATGTAAACAGCACATTGTACTGCTTCTGCCCAGAACTCTTTCAGCATACTCTTGCTTTTAAGCATTGATCGAACCATGTCAAAGATAGTTCGATTCTTCCTTTCAGCCACACCATTCTGCTGAGGTGAATATGGCGCTGTAAGGAATCTTCTTATCCCCTGTTCTTCACAGTATTTTACAAAGGCAATCGAAGTATACTCTCCTCCTCTGTCTGATCGAATTGCTTTGATGTTTCGATCTGTTGCCTTTTCCACCATCACTTTGAACTTCTTGAATACTTCGAGTGCTTCAGATTTTTCTTTCAGAAAATAGACCCAGGTTTTTCTTGAGTAGTCATCGATGAAGGAGATGAAGTATCTTTTTCCACTGAATGATTCTGGGGTAATTGGCCCACAGATATCAGTGTGTATCAATTCGAGTATCTGTTTGGCTTGATACTCTGCCTTCTTCTGAAATGATGTTCTGGTTTGTTTGCTGAGCACGCATTCTTCACAGAATTTTCCTTCGAACTCCATGTTTGGCAATCCATGCACCATGTTCTTCTTCGCCAACCTTTTCAGACCAGCATGAT